ATGAGAGTGACAAGAAAATCGATTTTGATTAAACCTCTTTTAGACTTCTTTGCTGTGTGGCATGACCGCGGAACTAATAATATTCATTGCAATCATTAAATTATTGTCTCCTCGTCGCTTATTTATAATAATTATTAGGGCTGAAACGATTATACCGAATAATCGAGTACTCGTTTGATAACTCTAACGATCAATCAATCGTTTAGATTACCGATTACGATTATTTTGCGTTTTTTAAATTTGTGTCCAGAAAGTACTGTAAACCCTCGTTTTGTGAAGTTTGAATCAGTTTCCGCTGGGAGTATGCAGTTGCCAGGGGTATGGTTCATGTTCTGAGGTTAAATTGACTTCAAAACTGCCATGTTTCGGAGCTACCCTTTCACTAATGCAGATTGGTTGGTATTATGAAGGCATAGTTTGTGGAAACAGAGTAATGTTTGCACAGAATTATGACTCTGATTATAATCGAGTACTCGATCGTTAAGCTAAAGAGTAATCGATACGTGAAAATCCACGATCGTTTCAGCCCTAATAATTATTAATTATACAAAAGAGAAAGACCAAGGAACTACAAGTTACGCTATGCTGTCCACTAACACCACCAGTTACTAAACAATCAGCTCATGCGATACCATTGCACGACACTGACCGACAGTACTGACGTTCTACAACTAACTGGCTAACAGCTCTAGCACATCTTGGATGCACACTCCAACAGCCTCATAGCCAGCAATCGCATGTCATCACGTACATTCAAAATCAACATAATTTTGCTATAAATCGACCTTTTCTTCAGCATCACTTTTCAACGAGGACGAAGCAAATTTCGGCCGAACGAAGCCCAGAGGAAGTAAATCACTCCCTCCACTTCACCATCACGATATTGACATAGATGCGAGACGAAACAACTAAAAAAGGCACAAGAAAACGGTACGGCCATCTTCGCGCTGACTTTGGTCTGAGAATTTCTATCACGATCAAAATTGTACGAGGAGCACTCAAAATAAGCTACCGTAGTTCCAACTTGGAAGGTTCTAAGTTATAGAAATAACATAACATAACTTGGCTCTCCATCTGAGTACAATTATGAATTAATTATTATTATCCATTATTCTCATTTGAGTGTCTTATTGTCAGTTGTAGTACTCCTAGTACTGTAGACAGGATAGTTTTAGCGGCTAACAAATTTATCAATTTCTGAATCAGAACCAATTAGCGATGAAATATAATATTTTAGAGGTGCGAGTTTCAGGGTTAAAACAATGTACATTACTGATACTGTACTAGGCATGCAACGTTAGCAAAAAAATCAAAAATAGCCGTTTTAGTTTAGTATTAGTTATTAGTTTTATTGACAGTAATCAATCAAATTGGACTGGTGTTTTCCCAACATCGGGCACATGCGCCATTGGGTCCTTGGAGTCCTAAGGGTGCAGCTGCAAGAACTGGTGTGCCAATAAGTGGATTTGGAGAATGAAATTGGGTATTGCAAGCAAAGTGAAGTGAAAAAAGAAAATCAGTGAAACGAAGTGTGAGATCCAGCATCACAATTACCCCATCACAATCTTGTATCAACTGGAAAAGGGGAGTTATTAATTTATTACTTACATGTGCTGTTGAAAGTTGTCGTGCTCCCAGTACTCATAACTGAGTCGGATTGGGCGGGGGTTTCCCCAATATCAGGCACAGATGACGTTGGGTCTGCACCACCATCTGATAACAGGGCTACAGTGCTTGTTGCGGATTGGTTCAAAGCTGGGGCTAACATGCTTGTTGCGGATTGGTTCAACGTGCTTGTTGCGGATTGGTTCAACGTGCTTGTTGCGGATTGGTTCAAAGTTGGGGCTAACGTGCTTGTTGCGGATTCGTTCAAAGCTGGGGCTAAATTGCTTTCTTCAAGCGTAGATGCGTCTATAAGTGAATTTAGGAAATGAAATTGTGCATTCCAAGTAAAGTGAAGTGAAAAAAACTGACATTGCGGCCAAACCAAGTTCGTCGGAAATTAGCTTTGAAATGGTTATGGGTTTTCACCTATCGATTACTCGTTAGCTTAGACATGGATTAATCAATTTTAATAGTTAACAAATAGTGTGTGACATTGCAGGCAAACCATGGGTGTCCAAACTAGGATTAAAACGACCATGGGTTTTCAACTATCGATTACTCTTTAGCTTAACGATGGATTAATCAATTTTAACAGTTAACAATTAGTGCCTGGATTGTGTACAAGATTTTCTCTTTTTCCACAAGTTATGTCTTCATAAAACCAAAAAAATCTGCATTTGTCAAAGAGTAGCTCGAAACATGGCAGTTTTGAAGTCAATTAAATTTCCAGAACATGAACCATACCCCTGGCAACTGCATGTTCATAGCGGAAGCTGAAACTGATTCAAAGTTCACAAAAAGCGGGTTATTCAGTACTTCTTGGACTCGAAATCCCTAACGAGTAGTCAAGTACTTTATCCGCATCAGGGAGTAGTAAAATACAGGGAGGTGACACGCCACTAATCGTGATTTTTGATGGGTGCCTCGCACTTGTTTTTTTTTCTTTCGCAAAAAAAGATGATCTGCTGAATCAATCTTGAGTATTTGTCGAAGAACTAATTCCTTGAAAAGGTCTATCCCTCTCATGGAACAGCATTTGTTTTGCTCTTGTGATACATCTGTGTCATCGTCATATGGAAAGGTACCACCCTTCCGAAATTCGTCCCGATCGACAGCATGGAGCAATAGAACGAAGGTGATTTCCTTGAGAACAATACGTGTACGATTGGAGATGAAAAGCGAGGGCACCGATTTCGAAGTCGAAAAAATCTCTAGGACACCACACGATCGGCAGTAATTTCTCCTCAGTTGTGATCAACCAGTACTTCTCTACCTTCTTTGTGACGATGAGCATTTCATATTATGGTATGCTAGAGATTCGGGAGTTCACTTTTCGGAATGAAATGTTCCTAAGTTTGTCAAGGATTTAAATGTGGGCTACGTCGTCGTAAACAGCTTGTATCGAAACAGGAAAAATCTAAGGCACGCAGGGATATCTCCAAAAGTGATACCACTCTTGCTGGACTTCTATCCTGACAAATTTGTAGTTTGGTCGACTACCAAACTTTGTGAAGGCAGACAATTTTTGGAAATTCTCAGCGCTGTGTTTCTACGGGCTGCAGTAGGAGTCTCTTTGGAGGTAGGTATTTTACTACTCCCTGATCGAGAGAATCCTGATCCGCGCGCATGTCTACACACTTCGGTACCCATAGTACCAAGAGTACATGACCCCCCAGAGTGTGCAACTCCCACATACCCTGCTGTCCCGACAGAATTTCAAGTTGATGTCATTATTTATGACGCAATGCTCCTTGCACCAGTGATTTCAGGGGCGTAGCAGCCGCTCCGGCCGGTCCGGCTTTGGCCGGACCACTTTTTCGCCCGACCACGTTTTTTTGAAGGCCCTGCAAGGCTGCATGGCCTACACCAGGGAGTCGTAGGGGGTCGTACGACTTACTGGCTTGCACCAGGGAGCCCTACGCGTCCCTACCGTCGAATGTGAACTAGCAAAGTCCACGACGGCGCCGAACGCCGTCGATCGTTGAACATCGCAACGATCTTCCGGTCACGTTTTGTACTATATTGTACAAATCGTACAGATCGCTTCAGAACGGGGAGCTGGCTGTTACGTCCCGTACCGTCGGCCTTACGTCGAATGTGAAGTAGGCTTCACACATGCGAGTGTACGTGCATGTATGGCCTACGACCATGTACACTGTGTGATGCGCATTCCCGGACGCTTTTCGCCTTCGCTGATCCGCTGCTTTTTGTGTTCCACTTTTTCCAAAGAATTCTCGTAGTTGTGTGTCTTTTTCCTCTCTGATTGCTGCTTGTGTGGACACCATGGAGGCTCATCAGCCTCGTAACTTTGTCACATATTATTATTTCTTGCCTGCACTTCTTTTCCTCGCTAGTTTTGCTGAGAGTTTTTGTACACCTATTCAATGGTGGATGAGATAACAGGCTTTGAATGCTGTCCATAGTTGTTTTCTTGGAAGTAGTAAAACAATGCCAAAAGTGCCAAGAATGCAGGATTTTGCACCCTAATTTCAAAAATTTTCCCACGACCTCCTGGCCGGACCACCGCCAACGGCGGTGCTACGCGACTGGATTTACAACATGTGTACGGGTGTCAACGCATCATACGTTTTTCTTTGCTATAATTTGTACAGGATTGATCGGCTTTGGTAAACCACAGGTGCCGGATTCGTCTGATAATCCGTGTACAGTGCGCATTGCATCATCAAAATGACGTCATCTTGAAATTCTGTCGGGACAGCACCCATAGTGGAGTTGCACACTCTGGGGGGTTATGTACTCTTGATAGTACCCCAATCTCACCCGCCGGGTGAAAACGGTGCTGAGGCAATCGTCAAACTGGCCGTACATGCTCCTGTCACCTCCCTGTACTTTACTACTCCCTTATCCGCATCATTAAAATTGTCGCTTCCAAGAGCGATTTTTCAAATTTATTTTGTCCGCTCAAAGGGCAAAGAAATCAGCTAGAAATTGAGGCAGAGCATTGTCGACGGACCAAGCGTTCGTTTGTGGCCTTCCGCTTCGCTGCACTTAGCAGCTAAGGTCGACGTTTTCATCAGAGTTTGAGGCAGACCATTCAGCACTCAACCATAAGCTGAACAAGACATGCCTTCAAATTCATGTCAAGAAACTTCGTTTTCAAGCCATCCATGCCTCCAGGTGGCAGTCGATGACGGCAAAGTAGCATTTTTTTTACAAGTACGCTGTAACGCCCTTCTACCGGGATAGGGTAAGCAGTTCCGCACCTTCTTTCCTTGGCAGGCACTTCACTGATTTTGTTGGTATTTTCAGACCTGCTACCTGCGCCACACGTAGAGCATTAATGTTTAGGAATTTGAACACTTTGTTTTTGCCATCGTTAACTTCAGTATTTAATATTCAGGAGAGATACCAGGATTCTTGTACCTGAGCTTCCAGTCGATAAATGCCCACGCGAATGCTGTGCGAAGGCACAAACTCCAGAAAAACGATACTCGCTTTGGGGTGGAATAGTGCGCAGCACGATGAATTTGTTTGGTGCGGAAGAGAGCTCCGACAAAATCCAAGACGACCACGGCTTCAGTAGCAAGTAAACATTGAGCAGGAAGGGTCGCACCAATGTTCGAACACAGAAAACAGCGATTCTGACAGTCGGACTAAGACGATCAAGTCACAAATATTGCAATGTGCGAAGCGACAATTTTAATGACGCAGAGGAAGTACATGTATAACATAAGACTTAGATGATTTGTTTCACTAAACCTTGCTTGTCTTGCCTGATTTTTCAATTTGGTGGCATGAGAAACGGAGAAGCGACATGCCTTTTGACACAAGGGTGGCAGGTGTGTGCTGGACATCGATTCACATGTTATCCCCCAGTTACATTTTTCGGAAACCATGTGCCTTAGGGAACACAGATGAAGAGCATGATGACCACATTGTGGCTGTGTGAATGGTAGCTTATCGCATGCATGTACCACACTGCACAGCACCATGCTGCTCCTGAATAGAGAGACGTCTCTTTGAGCTACATTTGTGCCTTGATTTGCCACCTGGCTGACGAAATGAGCGATGGCAGATACTACAGTCCCCACGCTGAGATTGGTCAGGGTAAGGTCTGGCGAGGCCAGACAGAATGGCAGATACCTTACAATCTGAAAGATCCTGAACGATCTCCTACCGGGCCAGATGTGCAATGCCGATGTGCCGAAGATGAGACAAAATAACATTCTTCCAGCAAGGCGGGGACCACACGTAGGCCGAGGCCATGGTAAAAAGCAAAGCAAAAGCTGCTTGGGCACACGAACATCTGGCATGCGTGACACATGGCCAAGCCATCCAAGCCACCGCTTCCGCAGCCGTTAGGACAATATCAGTGGATCATTCAGGTTTCTCAACGCCGCTCCCTCGTAACGTGTTCCACCCTGCCGTTGTTTTCACGAAACACGCAGGATACTACGTGTGCAGGTTTGGTGGAAACTATCAAGTTGCCGGAATCACGCACACACATACTAGTACGCGCGAGCGTGCGGGCGCGAGCACACACACACACACACACACACACACACACACACACACACACACACACCGACACACACACCGACACACACTATACGTAGGCTAATTGCTAACCTGTGCAATTAAATCCATCACCAGTAAATCCAGGATCACAGGTGCATAAAAAGCTTCCCAAAGTGTTGTTGCATTGTGATGATGAACCATTACACATGGTGTTACACTCATCGATATCTATAAGAGGAATAGATTAACACACATGGGTCAAACAAGGTGGTACAAGTACAACCCCTCCCCCCCCCCCTCCATATCGTCTGATGTCACTACTGATGTGCTCTTATTTGCCGATGACGCTACTCTTGGGAGAGCAGCCGGAGGACCTAACCAACAACAAATGGTCCACCCCTCCAGGCCGCCACTGATGGCGTTGTGCAGTGGGCTGATTCAGTCGGAGGGTGCTTCAACCCTTCGAAGTCTTGCACCATGCAGTTCTCTCCTAGAAGTCGTGCAGAACGTGCCCACCCTACTCATCCGACTCCGCACCTGAGAATGCAGGGAGATGACGTGTCTGATGTAACGACTCACCGACACCTTGGAGTCATCTTACTCTAACCTCGACCATCACGACAAAGTTTCGCCAGCGAGCAGTCCTGCTGATCCACATGACCAAGCGTATCACCCCAGCCGTAGCAAGCCGCTTGTACACTGGATATGTTCGACCTGTGGTTGAATATACCTCATCCCTCTGGCAATTTCAACTCTCCAGTGCTCAGGCTACTACCCTTGAACGGCTCCAGGCAAGAGTGGCACGTGTGATCCTGCGGCAGTATGGCGTGTACCCTCCTCAAACGGAGCCGAAAGCCTCACTCTTCGCGCACCTCCAGTGGCCCAGCCTCGCATGGCGAAGACACATTCAGTGCCTTCTTGAGCTCCACCACCTTATCAATAGCCAGATGACGACCCTGGAGGACCTAGGTTACTCAGTGTCAAACAGCGCCAGGCGCCCCCAACATCTACTCCCACCTGCTAGAGCCAGCACACACACACCCGTGCCACCTTTCTCTTTGTCACCACTGCCACATGGAACTCCCTCCCGGCCGCCATTCGTACTGTATCCAGCCCAAAATATTTTACTGCTCTTGTCTGCACACACTTTGCTATCATCCGTTATGAGCCCTCTGGTTTCATTCCAAATAGAGTAGCGATGTAATAGAGCACTGTGTTTTAGTACTACCACCCCGCATCATTCTATTTCATATTTTTATTTTTCTCCTCAGCTTCTTCTTCATAAGCTGTTGACGGAGACTCCCTCGATTTAGGGTAAGGCCTGTGGAGAATCCATAAATACAAATACAAAAATACAAATACAAATACTACTTTCTAAACTATTATTCCCATTCACAACAGGCAGGAGGAGTTCAGAATAAACTGTTTTAATTTTGAGGAGTCAATACCTCACTCAGCCTCTCAATACGGCTCACTCAGCCTCCGCAGCCGGGCCCTGCCCGGCTGCCTCCATACGGCTCACTCAGCCTCCGCAGCAGGGCCCTGCCCAGCTGCCATACACACACATTCACACAGCTCTAAGCTGTCACTCACTCGGAGCCTGGCAAAGCAATTGACAAACTCTCCTATTCCCAGTCCAGATCCGGATCCAACCAATCGAACAAGACCAGACTGTCTTGTGTAATCAGGAAAGTCAATATACATGTACTGAATTTTGACCAAAATAATATTATGAGTGTGTGTGGTGCAGTGTAAAATGAATGCACAGCTATGCAGAAGACGTTACTTCAGTAACGTCTGGCGCTAGCCAGGGTCCACACAGCTTTAATTTGGTGTTTGTTTGTTTGTTTGTTTGTGTCACGGCTGGAGCTATCCCGTATCTGTCCCGTATCTGTCCCTTATCTGTGACTACAAAGGCTCTACAGGATTGTACATTACAGCTGTCCACAATATTTGCGGGCTCCTGTATCTGTCCCGTACCGTACCAATATTCGTCGTATTATGTATACGACTCCCTGATGTAGAGGGAGATTTGGAAAGAAATAGGGAGACGAGGAGGAAATTAAATTAGAATAGACGCCGAATAGGTGATAGGATGCGTCAGCATAAACATACTTTGGAAGAGAGATCCCGTCGTCTCCAAAATAAGCGTGAACGAGCGATTCAGCGCCGGTCACAGGAAACGTCGGAAGAGAGATCCCGTCGACTCCAGAACGCCCGTGATCGGCAGAGTCCGCCGGTCCCAGGCAACATCAGGACAGACATCTCGTTAAGTCCAGAACGCCCGTGATCGGCAGAGTCTAAGCCGGTCCCAGGAAACGTCAGGACAGACATCCTGTCGAGTCCAGAACGCCCGTGATCGGCAGAGTCAGCGCCGGTCCCAGTAAACGTCAGGACAGACATCCCGTCGACGCGCAGAAAAACTAAATCTGCAGCCTCCTTTGGCGTCGGACAGGATACGTATTTAAGGAGACTGTAAAGTTATGTAATGTCCAACTTTCGACGTGAGCAGCAGGTCACTCGCGTTGATTTTTCGACGTGCGAGCCAAATAACGCGAGCTGAACTTTCGCGTCGCAATCATCCCGTCGACGTGCAGAAAAACTAAATCTGCAGCCTCTTTTGCCGTCGGACAGGATACGTGTTTTAGGAGACTGTAAAGTTATGTAATGTGCTCCACAGGCAACCATGCATTCGGCGTCGTCATTGGCTCAACAGGTCAATGTACATGTGTTACTACAAAAAGGCCAGAAAATCCGATTACTGTATTAAAATCAACTCATTTTCGCTGGCGATTTAATTTCGCTGATTTCGCCGCTTGGTACCAACCGGCCAAAGTAAATCGCAGGCGAAAGTTTGTCATAATTATGGGCAAATGATGCATGATTGAGCAATGGATGCAAGTGAGAGCAAAAATACCGATCGATTTCAAATTTGACGTGAAATGTGGAAACGTTTTTGCAATACAGTGATGTGGCCAATCAACGGAAAAAGACATTTCCATCAGTTCTTAAAACATGTACGATGAGCTAGGCAAAAAAGCATAAAAGCATAGCGTAGGGCCCTGAGCTTCCAAGCTCTCTCGTTGTACAGTGAGCTAACGTCACTAAATTCTAACCTTTGCAATCTGGTTGGTGTGTAAGCGTCCCGTTCGACACACAGCTGGTATTGTGCCCTGTTTTGCCAGATGAGTAGCCAGTATTGCATGCAACATATCTTGACGTACCCACTGCCAACCTGGGAATGGAATTGGTAGTGGTTGTGTTGCCTACAGCTGGGCAGTGTGTGGCTGTGTGGTAAAGGAAGAGATAAAAAGAACAACAAAAACCAGATCACACAGTCGTATAGCGGTTACAGAACTGAGTGCATGTTTTGTGCACATAGAATGTGTTACTGTTTTTATTTGATGCAGTTCCTTCTGGCATTAAAATAGACAAAAACCTAAAATTCGGCGCATAATTATGTGGGTGAAAGCAGGCCATTATACGGCAATTATGTAGCGGGCGAAAGCAGGCCATTATGCGGCAAATAAGCAGCGGGTGAAAGCAGGCCATTATACGGCAAATGCAGGATTCTGCAGTCAGTATGCGCAAGTTATCTGTCATTGCATAGCTGCCAAGTATCCCGATTTTTGGATGCACACAAAGCAACGACAGACCACCCAACTTAGTCAAAAAACCACTCAAGTCTTTCAATATACTTTTTGGCTAAGGTCCAGGGATCGATTTACTTTGATTTTGTTTTACACAGTTTTACAATTGACTAGCAACTCCCAGTATTGATTAGCAGTTTTCCTTCACTAAAAGTATACATATATTATATCAGAACACTAGCAGAATTTTGTACAGAAGAGCAAAATAGCTGCAGTTGACCTGAGTGTATTAACGTGTAATAGGCCAAGTAAAAAAAAGGTTGTTGACCCTCAGAATATCCGAAAAATCTGGGCGGACGGGAGGGTTTTATTTTTATTTTATAATTTTTTTATATCTGCATCGACCGGACATAAATCTTAGCCTGTATTACATCTATGGGGTTACGGGTGTACTACCATTGTTGGTTGTGGCAGCTACCAGTCTGCCTCGGCACATTCCAAAAACATTGAACATGTGCAGATGGCTCTGTGACACAATTTCCTGCTGCCATGCAATACGGGTTCATCGATCAACAACAGCTTCGGATGCGGTACACGGTGGCTGCGCAGTCTCCATGAATGCAGGCGTAGATATCAGGTGGTACACTCTACAGACTACAGTGCCATGTATTGTAGTTGCCGGATTTCACACAAGTACACTGGAATCACACTGCGCTGCATCATGTCGCTACGGTAAAAGCACGTTGACGCTGTACACGAGAGCTCGCGTACGCGCGTACTGCTAAAAAAAGTTCGCGTTTCGCTACGAGTTTTCTACCGTTGATGACGAAAATAAAAATAAAATAAAAAATCCTGGGACGGACTGAAAAATCGGGGTGGGCGCTGACGATCAACAATCAATTATTTTCACTTGACCTAAGGGTTTTCTCTTGGGTGTGTTACATGTTCAGCGTCTATCCGACTTCGAGTTCTTCACGACACAATGTCCTTCAACAGGGCAGTTCCACGGATTCCTTCGACAAAGAAAGCTCGGGAAAGCGCTGAAGCGATCGTGACACACCGTGTAAAGCGCACAGTACTTTCGCTTTTCTCCAATTCTTAATCGGAACGAGTCGAAACTCCTGGCGCGTCCAGTTATTTTCCCTCTTCTGGACAGTGATCAGATTCAGGAGACTAAGAACCATCTACTTCAACTGTGGATAACAGATGTGTATGTACCATAAAGTACCGTTGATCCGCCCCCTCTCTAATCCCCCTCCCCCCCCCCCCCCCCCCTGTCGATTTTCTCCTTGTGAAGCGACTTCGGCATATACAACTAAAATACGATGTTGAACCAACGCATGCACTGCTGTTCACAATACTTGCCAATCCAGAATCAAAATGTGCACAATCCAGCGCATCGAGTCTGAACTTCTACGTTGTTGTACATCGTACTGCACTTGACAGCCTTGATCTAATTCCCGCCCCCTGCCGAAAACCCAGGTGGGAAGCGACATGGCGTGGGGGCGGATCGACGGTACTTTACGGTACATGTACATACTTTTTTATATGTTCTACTCCGAGCCAAAATTTCATGGCTCTGCAATGACCAGAAGCGCCATACCAAGCAGGTGAGTTTTGACGTGTTGCTTCACACTGCGACTTGAGTTTTACGACTTTCGAAAAATCAACTTCTTGTCGCAGGTAAACAGCGGCTCACCTCTCGCCAATAAAGCACCGCATACCAGCCAAAGCTAATGGAAGCACACACACGGCTTATTGTTACTCTGTACTGGCCGTCGTGGAGCGATAGCAATTACCTAGTTTCAGACCCAGAGTGAATTCGACGTGCACTCTAAAACCTGTCCGGTTTGGAGCCACCTCTGATTTGAAGCGAAAAATTGGGCAACTTGAAGGCAACGGATCAACACAAAAGAGTGGCTCAGTTCGATTGACTCTGGCCTCAGAGCAAACTTCAATATGCCAGTTTCCTTCAACAAACATATTTCGAGTGAACAATCAACGCTGATGATCGGTTTGGGTCTATACACATTTGGCTGTCAAGCCGTTCCGGTATCGAACAGTCGCCTCTACCATGTTCCAGACATGCCAGTCTGCCTGATACAAGAGGAAAGTCGCTATATCCGATGTATTTTCACTGTTTTTCCGGTCTTTGGGCACCAAAATAGTGTCAGTATATTCGATCTGTAGTTTTTTTTGAGGTCGTTATACCTGATCTATAATGTACAGAAATGACTTAATAAACGACTTGGGCAACGGAATTGTGTCGCTAAACTCGATTTGTCGTTATACCCAAGTTCGTTATATCCGAACTCCACTGTACTACTTATATTCTCATATGCGAGTATTGCTCTCACACCATTTTCACACACTTCCTTTGACAGGCTGGAACGACTCCAGCGGAAAGCCGCCAGAAAATGTCTCCACCTTCCCCCTTGCCCACACTTAGAACACTCACACCTTTTGCATCGCATCAAATGGTCAACATTATGTTCACGCTTTAAAGTTAAACATATACTCTTCGCACATTCTCTGCACCACAAGTATGCCCCACCATGTATACTCTCGTTGCATACCGCTTGCACGGTGTACCCCTTGGATAATTTATGTCGCTCTTTACTTGGCGCTTAATTTGCTTGCCAACCCGGCTTCGTGAAATCCTTTCTCGCAGATGTCGCAGGTCACAAGGCACATCGCCAAAAGTTGTATTGTGAATCGATCTTTATGTATATAATATAACCTAACCAGTTGATTATATGGGAAATATAAACCTGTATACAAACCGAGGCGAAGCCGAGGTTTGTATATTGGTTTATATTTCCCATATAATCAACTGAGTAGGTTATATTATGCTTATACTGAGCTGATATACAAACTCCCCTCTCCCCCACAAGGGTAGAGATTGGAATTCCAACCCACAACCATGGCTCGACGAGTCTTCCTTTCACCAACCCAGTGCGGATCAAGTGCAAGACTACCCACAACCTTTTGTCGCTTCATAATTTTTTTTATAAGGACCGCCCCTTATTAGTGATTCAGTCCATGTGCAGAACTGACTTGCATTGCTTCCCCGTGCTGCACAGAGGAGTGGGTTGCTGTGCATAAACGTTGTAGTGATGTCTAGGCTTCCAGAGTGCTACAAAGAGTTGTTCTCCTGGAGCACACACTTCACTTCCTTACTCTTCGTCAACTAATGAGATGCATACGCTCTGAAACAATACGTATCGGAATCGGAAACTGTAATAATTTCTTGCAGCGGTGTTGAGTGAAAAGCTCACTATGTTTCTCGTGAGATGTTCTTTGTTTACACTGTACACCTAGCCCAAAGGGTAATCATCAGAAACTACTCAGATGGTGAGCCAAAGAAAACATTAAATTGAAACAAGGAATACGGTGGGGCACAATTTATGCGTTAGAGTCCACCACCTAAACCAGATTTTGAACAGTCAGGCGTGCACAAGGTAGCACCGGACCAACAAGGAGTACTGAGACATTCCACGGCAAGGAAGTCAGCTTGAGCACTGCTCGATAGCGCTAACCAACGGCCTTCCAACTTGGAAGGCTCATGGATATAAGTGAACACAAGCTGCATTCCAAGGCAAGGTGGAATACTGGCTTGGTACGATAACGGGACGGTAAGACAATTGGACAATACGGAAGGCCGTTGGTTAGCGATATTGAGCAGTGCTCAAGCTCACTTCCTAGCCCCGGAATGTCCCCAGTCCTCCTTGTCAGTCAGGTGCTGCCTTGTGCCCGTCTGGTTGTTCAAAATCTGGTTTAGTTGGTGGTCTCTAACGCATAACTTGTGCCCTACCGTTTTCCTTGTGTCAATTTGGTAAGCAGCAACTTAAATATTTATCTACAACTTAGAGTCGTGTTGCTAGTGTCACGAGGTCGGCCAGAGAACGCATGTGGTGATGGTGGGATTAACCACCTGCGCCAATGTCAGCACCACAACTGAAACCGCAGTGACCAACCACACTTTAACCACAAAAGGTGACTTCTCTATTGACAACTGCAATGTAACACAGCTCTGACCTCATCAGGGTGACGTATTGCACAAACTGCGCTTTTTCAGATCTGATATCAGGGCCGGAGGCGGCTTCCGCGGAGCGGTGCAGCCGAAGGGCAATCCTTCAAGGGGGTCCGGGGTCCTCCCCCAAAGTTTTTTTTAATTTAAACGGCAAATCCTGCACTCTGGGCGACTCCCTGTACCAAATCATACATCGAAACTTTTTCTCCCCGGTTTTGGACGTTCCACGTGGACCGACTTTTGGGGGAGTTGGCGCCGGCCCTGGATATGGACAGTTGCACACTCTGGTATATGTACTCTTGATACCAGTTGTAAAAAAACTCACCTCGGTTACTAGTATATACTAGTATGTGAGCCCCAGCCAGCAGAAACCTGAACATGTGTAATTTTTTCAAAAATTATTTTTTCCCTCGAAATTGTTTCTACACTCTTAATCATTCAAGTTATCAAGTTTGGTGACAATCTGATAAGCGAAAGCATGGAAAATAGAGTTTGGAGTCACACAGGTCAAGATTCAGTACAGTTGGCGCAGCATCCATGCCTAGTGACTCCATGCAAGTTGATCCTACAGTTTCTGATTGTGATATGGAACAGGTACATGTAAGTAAATAGAATGCAAGTCAGGCTTGCCCTCTTGGTGCTGCAGGCATGAGTAGTTCAGAAGTGTGACGATATTCCGTATACATTACTACCTTCCTTACAACACCAGAGTGAAAAACGATGATTGGTGGCTGGCCTTCCAAATTGTGTTCAGGGACCTCTGCGCTGGCAGTTTGAGCGTTGTCTGAAAGCTTGCCATACTGATAGATGTACTGACCAATACCACTGACATCCACTCCCTTGCACACTTTCACTCACACCATGATTTCAGCATAATTGTATTTCAATGATATGAGCGAATACTCGCGTTTTGTAGCACGTGAAGATGTTGCCCCAAAGCGTTCGGCTGGTTTGAGTTTTTAGGGATCCCCTTTCTCAGCACAGGCAGCAGCCAGCTTGGCATCGTCTGGCAAGGTAGAGTACTGATAATACTACGCTTGCAGTCTCTGTTTTGCACCGTGAGAAGCCCTCCATCCGCGTCTGCAACATCATTGTTGTCGATGTAGAAATACGGATCGCTCAGCGGGTCGACATTCAGCTTCTCCTTGCAGTCGCTATTACTCCAGCACTGACTATCGTCGCCACCAGTATCCAGTGTCGATTTTATGAGGGCTCTTCGTTGCTATGCATATCAGACTCGCCACTGCTGGACAAACTCAGCGAGATCGCCACCAAAGAAATAATTCCGATCGCGAACTAACTTTCAGCGCCGCTTCGTACAGGGAGTCTCACGCTGACAACTCTGGACCTAAGCCTTTGTCGCGACACCTGTCGCCATCGCTGTGTCTAAACTCAACCTCCGTGTGACGAGCTCTCACCTAGCGCTAAAATCAATTGACCAGAAACATTTGAAGACACTTGAAACTCCTTTGACAACAAAGACACCCACTCGATCGAAAAAGAATCTTCAAAAGCCAGCTCACTGCGCATCACAAACTTTGACGTCACATTTTGATGATTGATATCAAGTACACAAGTGCTGGTTTTCGCTGGCCGGGGCTCATGTACTTCCTTGGCGTAACCGAAATTGTCGCTCATCTTCACGCAATGTAAACATGATGAGGTTCTTCATTCGAGTGATCGTTTAAAAAAATCAAGTGGAAGAACATTAGTACTGTACAGAAGAAGTGGTCCGAAAACAAATCTCGAGTCAAACTGTCCTGAAGACATTGGAACTCACGACCGAAGTTAGCTCTCACTTTCGCTGTCACACTCATCACTCGTCACTTTCCCATGTTGTACTGTTAATGTCAGGATGCACCTTTCTTCCAGGGCATTGGGTCAGGCAATTTCACTCGCGAGCAACATTCTCTACTTCTTTGCACGGGTAGGATTGGGCATATTTATGGCCTTGCCTGTCGCACTTTGCATGAGCTGTATGACTGCTGGTGTGATGGCTGTAGGTGTTTTTGCCCCTGCTCAACAAATTCCCCTTGTAGGTTGCAAAGAGAACCATCCACACGAATTTCATTTGCTCGATTGGATGCTAGTTCCTGCAAAGTTCAACGATGCTGATTAGCTTCTTCACATTTTCCTTTGTGACGAGGTCTGCGTCGGACTGCAAAGAAGCGAAGAAGGCAAGATCGTTGTAATGTAGGCAAGGGGACTCCGTTGACTGTGTCACCACCGCAATCTTGAAGCCGGCCTTCGCTCCATGGCGAGCCCAGTATTGTTGGTTGACTTTCACGGTGTGGGTTTTAGCCCCCATCGCGCTGGTAGTACAATGTCCCCCCCCCCCACCTTTCTGGTTTCCCTGAACCTCGCTTGAACCACTACATCTCCGTTCTCATTGCATCAAAACACCGTCCTTCTTGAGCAGCCCTTTGCGATACTCCGCGGCACTCACGACCACGCTCTCGATCACGTCAGTTTCGCCAGCCACGGTTGCGGTGCGTATGTTCGATTACTGTGCTTTGCGCTGCACTGTGAGCTGCCATAGCCCTACCTTGCCATCCAACTCGTACTGAACGCGTGGAGTTGGAGGAGCGCTTGCTTTCAAAGGTGTCGCTAAGCCTTTCAAACGGCCAACTACTGTAATTCAACAAATTTTCGCCGGTGGAAAACTTTCGCCGATCTCCAAAAAACACTTTTCGCCGCCACTAAACGTTCGCCGTGCGCGTGCAAGAGTCCAAAAAAAGTGATCGATGTTTCATGCACGAATGTAGTACAAAGGTACGCGTACTGTAAAACAACAGATTTTCGCAGGCGATTTAATTTCGCTGATTGGCATTGACAGGCCAAATCAGCGAAATTAAATTGCCAGCGAAAATTTGTTGATTTACAGTACTCAGGCCACACGCTGAGTTTCCCTACTTTAGTAGTTATATATTTCGATCCGTTCTGTGTGTGGATCGCTCTAGACAGATCGTTGTGTTTCGTGTGTGTGTGTGTGTGTGTGTCCTGTGTGTGTTTGTGCTGTGTGCTGTGTGCTATGTGTGTGTGTGTGTGTGTGTGTGTGTGTGTGTGTGTGTGTGTGTGTATGTGTATGTGTGTGTGTGTGTGTGTGTGTGTGTGTGTGTGTGTGTGTGTGTGTGTGTGTGTGTGTGTGTGTGTGTGTGTGTGTGTGTGTGTGTGTGTGTGTGTGTGTGTGTGTGTGTGTGTGTGTGTGTGTGTGTGTGTGTGTGTGTGTGTGTGTGTGTGTGTGTGTGTGTGTGTGTGTGTGTGTGTGTGTGTGTGCATGCATGTGTGCACATGTGCATGCGTGTGCGTGCACAAGTTGCTATGTTTAACACAGCTGTTCGCTACCATTGCTCCCGCGATGGGCATATCTGAGTCTGAGTCTGAGTGTGTGTGTGTGTGTGCAGGGTGTGCGTGATGTGTGCTGTGCTGTGCTATGCTGTGCTGTGTGTGTGTGTGTAAGTGTGTGTGTGTGTAGCATTATAGTAATAATGCAGATTAATATGTGCACGCGGCTGCATCGTGCTACCACTCAAACTATGCTGCTATGATCGCTAGCGCTTTTACTGCATGCTCATGCTTTGCTGCTGGCTACAGTCACGTGCACTGTACATCACGGTAACCATGCTCACATGGTACTCTATGCGTTGTGGCATTCTACGTGTCATTCAACGTGACACTCCGCGTGGCATTCCCTCATGCGCGACGCATGAACGTAGGCGACATGCTTCTCGGGCACTCCATGTGGCATGCTAAAGTCTGCCCAGTTATATATTTCGATCCATTCTGTGTGGATCATTCTTGTCAGATCGTTGTGTTTCGTGTGTGGGTGTGTGCTGTGTTTGTATGTGTATGTGTATGTGTATGTGCGTGTGTGTGTGTGTATGTGTATGTGTATGTGTGTGTGCTGTGTGCGCTGTGCGGTGTGAGTGTGTGTCGGGGGGGGGGGCAAAGACCAGGCTAAATAGTGGCAGGCAATGCTTCAGCCTTGCAAGCTGTTGAATGATGCAATCCCAGGACAAGTTGATATGGCTTTTGCTGTAGCATCGCCTCTGGCGATGGGCATCAAAAGGTCAAACAGTGTGTGTGTGTGTGTGTGTGTGTGTGTGTGTGTGTGTGTGTGTGTGTGTGTGTGTGTGTGTGTGTGTGTGTGCATGTGTGCGTATCCGTGCATGGGCACACGCGATCATGCGTGCGTGCATGCTTCTGTGGCAATGCACCCGGTGTGGACCTGGGTTTGGTGTTATTTTTGAGGAAATGATGGCCTCTGTGTTAAAATAACGGCAGACACAACTTGGTGCTTACCAACTACAGGAACAGTTGTTGTGTGTGCGCTGGTCTTGGCAGTATTATTACACTGTGCCTGTAATGTTGAATTCTTAGGACCAGTACAGGTGAATGGTGGTTGGTTGATATCCACAGTACAGGCAATGTTGATGGACTGGCCAGGTGTGTAGGTACTACCATCTAGTGATACTGTTCGTGTATTTGTACAAACACCAGCAGTACAATTGCTGGTAGCAGTGCCTGTCATTACCACATTGTTGACCATCAATGTCACTGTAGGTGCTGGGTATCCTTGACCGGTACAGTTGATGTTGTATAGAGTGTCGTTATACACTGACACTGGAGTTTCAAGTACCGGCGTTGTGGGAGGAACTGTACATAACAGAGCAAGACAACTATGAATTACGACCACAGTTAGACACAGGTGCCTAACCGCAGAAAAGTGGACAAGACCCTTAACCCACATCCCGCAACGACTTGTTTTGCACATTTGAACATTCTTCAACGGCTCTAACAACTTGGAAAGTCTACATCGATGGCATGCAAGCTGACAAATAGGATCGAAAACGGCCTGGAACGCCGGGTCAATCAAACCAAACAAGATTGCAAGAAAATGGAGCGAAACGAAGTTGGATTGTTCCAAGTAAACATATGACCTGCTCCAAAATGCTCCAAAACTCTTTTCGTTTTCTACATTAGATAAGATTGTGATCAACCAGGAACATGTTCAATGGCTGGATGTTAGTTTATGAAAGTTTTGTTTCTGATCAGTACAGGATTCCGCTAGGGCGAGGGTCTGGTAATAACAAGCTTTTACTGCAGTTCCGAAAATCCCATTATGTGTTGCGGTGAAAAATCATAATTATAACTGCGACCGCTGTACTTTCAAGACGTAACATGTTGTAATCGTCACAAGAAAGGCCATTCAATATGCACGCGTATATCGATCCAAGGAAGTGCACTCTTCTTACAACCAGTCCAGACACTCTTCAGTACATGTTTGTATACACAGCTTTATTTAGATATTTCCACAGTGGCAAAGAGGACCAAAGCGAGGGTTGGGTATACTATGACCAGAAAAACTTAGTGTTTCATAGAGTAGAAACCTATAGATTATAGAAATACTTGATGTATGGCAGATGAACCATTCATTAGCTGGCGCGAATGTGTACTCTCCCAGTTAGAAAATAGTATTCCCGACCACACTCTTACACCCTTTAGCAGTGCAGTGCAGTGCAGTGTGCCCTGATGATAGCATCACTACACAAGTATTCTTCGAATAGATTGCTTAGCTTGTTATCCCACTGCACCCTATGTGTGGCTTGTTATCCCACTGCACCCTATGTGTGGTTTGTTATCCCACTGCACCCTATGTGTGGTTTGTTATCTCACTGCACCCTATGTGTGGTTTGTTATCCCACTGCACCCTATGTGTGGTTTGTTATCCCACTGCCGCCCTATGTGTGGTTTGTTATCCCACTGCACCCTATGTGTGGTATACCTAAAATTAACTTAAGTGCCTTGCTGTACCTGGCGTCTTTGCTGAAATTAACAAATTTGATGTTACAACGAAATAGTAGTGTCGTACAGTATAGAAGTACGTCAAAAACATCCAGCACAAGTACACAGCTAGTTGGTCTGTATTGATACTTCCTACTTACCCACGACATGCAGTTGATAGGTCTGTCGTGCTGTCATCCAACCCGTTACATCCGATGTACAACTGTACAGTCCAGTGTAGCTTGAGTTGAGAGTGGAGTGTTGGGTAGTGTCCCATCCAACAATTGTACTGTCAGCGGTGCCACTCTGATCAAATGGTTGGGTATGTTCACCAACAACCACACCAGTGTTAGTGTTAGTCAGTTGAATAAGTGAACCAGTAGCCTGTCGAGCCAGGCAATATGGTAAATACAGTGTTCCAATCTGTGATGTACTTTGTCCAGTCAGGTAGTAAGTTGTGAACGCAGTACTGATACCTAGCCCACTAGCAGCCAAGAACAAAACTTGACCTGCACAGAAAAACACACACAATAATACCGATCATTCCAGTCTCTACACACAGAAAGAAGCTACAGCATTCAGTGAAGCAAATCTGTTGTAGTACGTTATTTTGTCTACGGTGTTGGTGCATGCGCGTGCTGCTGTGGTGTGAAAAGCAGCCTTTGCCTTAAGTTTGTCATGTCCAGTTGTGTTTCTTCGTCGTGTCAATACGTCTTAACCCTTTGCGGTGCATCAGTCATTTACGACTGATATTTTCTGGGGGTGGGTTGTATGCTCCCAGCGCTTGTGTACATCGTCTGAATGGGCTGAGATTTGGCACACACATAGTGGATACATAGGGGAACAAGCTGAAGGGGTAAAAGACCCGCGGTCCGTACTAAAAATATTGAGTTATCCTCGATCGTAGTCAGCGTTTTGACGCGCGGCGAAGCGCAGCGGAGCGCATCCTCTGCATACAAACTAAAGCCGCGTGCCCCATCTGACTGTATACTTGGGAAAAGAAACGATGTCTTGTTGCCGAAGTACAACACACTTGTTTCTTGTTGTTCGAAAATGGACGTGGAGCAAGCTCTCAATCTCTTACAGAACCTCGAGGCCGACGATGAGCCTCTGCCTGCTGAGAGCTCTGACTCTTCTGAAGGCGACTTCATGTCGTCGAGCGAAGAGGAAGAGCTGGACCGAGAGCTTGACGGCTATGTCAGTTCCGATGACGGATCAGCTGACGATCAGGTGGACGACGATGTTGGTGATGAGCCTGTTCCGTTGCAGGGCCAAGGACAACCAAGAGGCGGAGGGCGTGGTGTTCAGCAGGGTGGAAGAGGACAAGGACAGGCAGCCGTAGCGAGGGGTCATGGCGGTGGTGCAGGTCGTGGCGGTGGCGCAGGCCGCGGTGCTGGCGCAGGTCGCGGTGCTCGCGCAGGTCGCGCTGCTGGCGCAGGTCGCGGAGCTGGCGCAGGTCGTGGAAGAGGCCGAGGACGAGGTGCTGGACTTGGTTACGCACCGTTGTCGTCCATGGATGTCGTCGATGACGATGGACCTCAGCAGATTCCTGTGTTTCAGCCGTCCAGTGAACCTGGACTAAAACTGCCTCCTGGGTTTGTTGTCGACTCGGAGGCGAGTGTCTTCAAACTATTTTCACACCTGAAATAGTAGCAGACATTGTCAAGTTCACGAATTACTTGGAAACAAAGCGCTAGACATCTTTTCATCCTATTCCTTGTTCTTTTCTGATGCGAAAAATGTGCTCATGTGTATATAAAAGTTGAACGGTTGTGAAGTTACAGTGATTCTTGTCGGAGTGGGTAGAAATGTGAATTTTTGGCCAAATCATTGGCACCTCAAAGGGTTAATAAATCTAGTAATCTTGTCGTCCATTGTATATGTGTGGAGATGGCACTTGGTTGGGAGCAGGTGGAGAAAGTCCACATACAGTCAACTTTGCTTATAACGACACTCGGCGGGCATCAGAAAAGTGCCCCTATTCGCGAAGTGTCGTTATACCCGAAGTCTCATTATATGTGTCACAGTGGAATGGGACTTTGCTCTGGGCATGAAAATTATGTCGTTAATCGCGAATTGTCATTATATCCGCAGTCGTTATTCGCAAATTGTCGTTTTATCCGCAGTCGTTGTTAGCGAAGTTGACTGCACAACATTGGTGGCAGCAGTGGTGGAACTCTTGTATACTGCAACATCTGGATTCGTTCTGCGTGGCCTTCGCTCCCAGTTTCCGTTGTCATCGGTGCGAGCTCGCGCGCGCGCGCGCGTGCGTGCGTGTGTGTGGGGAGGGGGGAGGGGAGGGGGGGGGGGTGGTGTGGGTGGTGTGTGGCGTGTGTGGCGTGTGTGGCGTGTGTGGCGTGTGTGGTGTGTGTGGTGTGTGTGTGGTGTGTGTGGCGTTCGTGGTGTTCGTGGTGTGCGTGGTGTGTGTGTGTGTGTGTGTGTGTGTGTGTGTGTGTGTGTGTGTGTGTGTGTGCCAGCTGGTTCGGTTATGCCTGATTGTGCTGGGCCTGTTGCCGAGCCAACGGACTCGGCTGCTTGAAGGTGTAATGTTGTACCTGCCACCTTTGTTGGCTCCAGGGTTCATATACTTTCTATTTGAAGTATACCTGTTAACCCATTCACTGCTGAGCCCGAATATACTCGGGATTCAGAATGACGTCAGGACGCTGAGCCCGGATATATTCGGGCTGACAGGCTATCGTACTGTACTAACTTCTGTGTTTCAGCGTAGGGCTCAAAGAGACCCCAGAGTCTCTAGACACATCATAGGTAACGTATGTACTCGTGGACATCGCGTGCCGCGAACTTCGCCGTGCTCGGATCGCTCTTGCACGTGATTCGAAAGACTGAAATATTTTTTTGAAAAATGTTGAGTTTCGTCTTGCGTGGGACCACGTGTCCAAGATGTCAAGGAGAACACGCATCCTTTCTCTTGACGAGGCGATAAATGTTGTGGCCCTTGACCCCAACAGCGATGGGTAATCATGCAGTTTAGGGTCCCAAATTATTTCGCACTTTCCCAGTGTTCAGTGTACTGTCACACGCGTTTTCAGTGTACTTTCACATCATAAACTATATTTTCATGAAAACCGAGGACAGATCAGACTGGGTACTGCTGGTGAACACTGCGGAGCAGGGAGCCGAACGTGTTGTCTTCCGCGCGAACTCAGTGTCTCCACACGAACTCGCAGAGGTACGTCGGGAACAACTCTCGCGATGTGCCGAAGTTGCGCTTCAGGGAAAAAAAGAACCACCGCGAACGCTCCGGACATACAGTCGGCATCTCCAGCGAAACCCGTCGCTGCTCTCCTGCCGTCTAGTGAGGCCACATAGCGCCCCACACTTGGAACAAGGCATTTCGTTGCTGATAGAGCGCCGAGCGGCAAGGAACTCCAGTTGACCAAGTTGGGTTCTGGAAAAGATCGGCACTAGTGTGAACACCGTCCACTTCTCCATCAAAATCGCATGATCATTATAGAATGTGTGCCTGAGGGACAATGCGTATCGGCGCTCCGGGACGCCCAGCCATTACCACAAAGTCAAAGAAAAACTTCCATAAAGGAGACAAAACTTTGACAAAGGAAACAAAACTTTGACACGAGAAAAGAAGAAGCATAGTGAAAGTTTGAAACTCGGATGTTGAGCCATAAATAAATGTGGAAGAGAAAAAGACATATGGATACGAGTTAAGAGTAACTCTCCATCACTGTAACATGATACTATATACAGTCAGAAAGTGCAATAACTAGGCACAAAACTGACAGAGTACTGAAACATTCGACGTCCTGACACCTAGCTTTAACACATCTCCGTAGCGTAACCTTCCAAGTTGGAAGGCTGTCGGTTAGCGCTACGGAGATGTGTTAAAGCTAGGTGTCAGGACGTCGAATGTTTCAGTACTCTGTCAGTTTTGTGCCTAGTTATTGCACTTTCTGACTGTATATAGTATCATGTTACAGTGATGGAGAGTTACTCTTAACTCGTATCCATATGTCTTTTTCTCTTCCACATAGTGAAAGTACACATGTTTTCATGAAAATAAAGTTCATGACGTGAAAGTACACTGAAAACGCGTGTGACAGTACACTGAACACTGGGAAAGTGCGACATAATTTGGGACCCTAAACTGCATGATTACCCAGCGATGTTGAGCCAGATGTAGACAACCAGGATGACAGTTGGTACGCGGATGGGGACGCAGATGACGATATTGATGACGAACTTGACCTTGCTCAACACGCTGATGATGATGTCGCGGAAGCGGCCCCCGCACTCCAAGCTGATGCCAACGCAGGAGGTGCAGATACTTTAGAGCAATCGGAGAGATCACACAAGCCGGCTGTTGAAGCGCTGGTGGCAGGAGACTCGGGACAAGAAGGTAATTGTCAAAAGTGCAATTGTTGAAAAATTCAAAAAATTGAAATTTGAATTTAGTACAAATCGAATATTGCGTGACACTTGTAGCATGCTTGCCATCAGTCATGACGATTCCAGATGCTATGTACATGCTGAAAGTATATGTACCTCAGTAATTATTTGTGCAATGTTCATGGTCAATGCGATAATTTTGTACTAGTATTCAGAGCATCATGTGGTGTCAATTCGTATCTCTATAAATGTGCAATTGCATACCGGTATGCAGAACGAAGCACTAAAAATATACATAGATATTTTTTACTTGATATGCATGTGTGTGTGTGTGCGTGCGTGCATGCGTGTGCGCGCGCATGTGTGTGTGTGCGCGCATGCGTGTGTGTGCGCGCATGCGTGTGTGTGCGCGCATGCGTGTGTGCGCGCATGCGTGTGTGCGCGCATGCGTGTGTGCGCGCATGCGTGTGTGCGCGCATGCGTGTGTGCGCGCATGCGTGTGTGCGCGCATGCGTGTGTGCGCGCATGCGTGTGTGCGCGCATGCGTGTGTGTGTGTGTGTGTGCGTGTGTGCGCGCGCGCACGCGCATGTGTGTGTGTGTGCGCGCGCATGCGCACATGTGTGTGTTTGTGTGCCATTTCTTGTCTCTTAGGCATATGGTGTATGGATGACAATCACCCAGACATACCGGACTTCACGGCAGAAACAGGATTGAATGTCGAGCTTCCTGAGAGCGCCACACCGTACGACTTCGTCAAGCTCTTCTTCACGCCGGAACTCTGGGACTTGCTTGTGGTGGAGACAAACAGGTATGCCACACAGTACCTGGCAACGCGCAGTCAAGACCTTCCCCGGCACAGTCGTCTAAGGAAGTGGACACCAGTTACCGTGCCGGAAATGAAGATGTTCATGTCGCTCTACCTGCTGATGGGCATCATCGTAAAGCCGGAGATTGATATGTATTGGAGCACCAATCCAATGGTCCACACTCCTATCTACAGCTCATCGATGGCTCGGGACAGATGGTGCGCTATTCTATCGTTCTTTCACTTTGCGGATAACGAAACAGCCGACGCGGATGACAAGCTTGCTAAACTCCGTCCACTCATCACGTTGACCGTACGCCTCTTCGAGACTGTGT